CAATGGCGACGAAACTCATAATCAAGAAAGCCACAAAATCAATTCACCAACGAAACTACCTTCGCCGTCACCGGAATACTCAGATCGGATGCTCACCTTCACCGGCTGCAACCACCGTAATCGCTTCCATCAACAAATCGATTTACAGATGTCACCGAAGCATCCTCTGTTTATTTTCCCGCCCTGCAACCAAAGGATTCAAAGTCCTCAAAACTCGCGGCGGCAACGACGATTTCCGGAATAATAATCATTATCCGTTGATTCACGATAGATCTGGTAAATCGTTCGACGAGACGAAGAAGACGATTGTTCTGGATCTAGACGAAACTCTCGTTCACTCATCAATGGAGAAACCAGAAGTTCCTTACGATTTCGTCGTGAATCCGAGAATCGACGGTCAGATTTTAACGTTTTTCGTGATCAAACGGCCAGGAGTGGACGAATTCTTGAAGAAGATCGGTGAGAAGTACCAGATTGTTGTATTCACGGCGGGATTGAGAGAATACGCGTCGCTTGTTCTCGATAAATTGGATCCGGAGAGGCGTGTGATCGCGAGGAGCTTTTATAGAGACGCTTGTAGCGAAATCGATGGGAGATTAGTGAAGGATTTAGGGTTTGTGATGAGGGATTTGAGACGTGTGGTGATCGTTGACGATAATCCGAATTCCTACGCGCTTCAACCGGAGAATGCTTTTCCGATTAAACCGTTTTCGGATGATTTGGATGATGTTGAGTTGAAGAAACTTGAAGAGTTTTTGAATGGTGATTCTTGTGACAAGTTTGAAGATATGAGACTTGCTTTGAAGGAGTTTGTTGGTTAATTTTTATTAGTTGATTAAATTTGTATTAGAGGATTTGATTTAAGACAAGACAATGAACAATAGCTTTGTTTGTTCAATTGTTTTGTCTCCGTGTTTAAAAACGTCCTCATGAAAATGTGATTTGTTATTTGTTATTTGATTAGTGTAATGTTTCTATATGGTTTAATTAAAGGGTTTTAAATGAAGGTTTTGCTTGGGGATTATTGTTATGGAGGGAGTAATTTACGGGCCTTTGTTCGGCCAAACAAATGATGGTAATATTAATATTAAACCAAATTGATCATGACTTTTATTAGGCTAAAGTCAACAAAACATTTGAGATCCTTTATTTGACAAGAAGAACAAATAAAAAGAGAAATTTCAAAAAATACCATTTTTTAAATTGTTATTTTACAAAAACGTTATATTTTTGAAATCTTTACAAAAATGTCACTTTTTCAAAATTATTTTTTTATATATTTGGATTAATTATGTTCTATTAGGGTTTAGTTATGAGGGTTTAAGAGGGTTTAGGGGTCAAAACATTTTTTAGTGTTTATAATTTTAAAAATCTATAATTAATGGCATTTTTGCAAATGAACACCTCTAAGTGGCATTTTTGCAATTTTCTCAAATAAAAATTAATTGTCAGCTTTCAAGTGTCAAATGATTTGTGTTGACACTTAATAGAATTCAAAAGGTTCACTTAATTTTCTGTAATCACTATTTTTTTGATTTTTAAATTACGTATTTTACTTTGTTAGGCCAGATTTTTTTTTTTTTTTGCTATCTATGGTTTTGTAAAATCTTTGAGATGTGTATTAATAAAAAATAAAAATTGTTGGGTTTGGGACATATTGACTGTGATTAGAAGAATTCACTAAATTTTATGCACATATGGTTTTTTCTAATCACTATATCTGATTATTAAGTTTCTTACATATTTTACTTTGTTAAGACATTTTATTCTTTGCTATATAAGGTCTTATAAAATCTTTGAGATGTGCATTATTGAAGTGTTAAAATATTTTTGACTTTTGAGACATGTTCTTGGAAAATCTTTGAGATATGTAAATTTTTAACATAAACTAAACTATAATTTTACTATTATGCGTCAGACTATTTATGAGAATACTTAAGACATATCCATTTTTTTCTTCA